CCCCCCCCCCCCCCATAATAGAAGACCCCTTTGGGAAAAAAACGTGTCCCACATAATAGAAGACCCCTTTTGGAAAAAAACGTGTCCCACATAATAGAAGAGCCCTTTGGGAAAAAAACGTGTCCCACATAATAGAAGACCCCCTATTTATTTAAGATTTTTTTTTTAAATTGAGGATTTTTATTAATGTTTTACTCCGAAACGTGTCTATTTCTGGAGGTTTTCAGCTGAAAATTTTCAAATTGATAAGTTAAACTCTATATTTCAGCTTTGAAAATCGTGAAAATCTTTTCTCCAATTTTCAAAATCGCTTCGATTCTCTCTGAGGACTTTTTTAATTACAAAAACTTATCAGTGTAGCCACTGTGGAGCCAAAGTGTAGTACTCAGTAGACTCAGACTGCTACAAATCTATATTATATTCTCAAAAATGGGTGAAAAAGTTTATTTTCAACACATATCAAATAAATGGATAGATTACAACCAATTCTATCGTTTGAGTTAAAGCATACGCTGTAAAACATTATTCCGACGAAACTATTTCATTTCGAATTCCTATTTCTCCTTCATTCCAGTTATCAGATTTCCTGAATATATTTATAATATTAAGACAAGCGACGCAGAATGTTAAACTTCAAAAAAAAACATTGGTCATAATGATTAATTTCTAGCGGTTTCTATTCGTACATTTCAAACATATTTTTTTTCTAATGCGTTTCTCTTCCTGTTGCTATTCGCAATGTGTTATTCTTCTGTTAATCGAGATTATCATTATTTCGTATTATTTGATTCAAGCTTTAATTTAATGATTAAATAATCTTAGTATAGACATTGGTTCTATCTTCGCCATATTCTAACAATCTTGTATGCATACTAATGGACTAAATAAGACACAAAATAAATATTTATAAAAGTTAGAAAGTAGTTTGATCACGATTTTATATAACTTATACTACCGTTATGAAAAATCACAAAAGATTATCTTTCAAATGGATCGTATAAACTTTTATCTGCGCAAAAAAATGAGGCTAGCTTTTTGCGAATGCTCATAAAAATATTCGAACTATGGAAAAGCAATGATTGTAGAAGTTTTCACAGCCTTTCCAGGGAATAAAAACACGAAAAAAATTCCATACTTCATAATGAAAGGGATATAATCATGCATGTTTTGTATTTTCATCGTTTAAAATGAAAGTTTCGCGAGTTACATTTCATGATTTTGATTTCTAATCGAAATCATTATAATGAAAATGATTAGAAATCAAAATCATGAAATGAGAGTGGTAAAAATTTTGATTTTAATCAATGAAAATAAGAAACATGCATAATTATATCCTTTTCATCATGAAAAACGCCATTTTTTAATTTTTTTTTACATAAGAGCCACCATTTGTTTTCATTTTTTTATTCCACGGGTATTAAATCTAAATGATTGCTACGACATGTAATAGGGAAGAGGGGACAAGCTGAAAAATCTTGACTCAAACCTACGATCACTGTTAGTTCCTTTGAAAATATATGTGAGTTTTACAAAACTTAAAAACATAATATTTAGAAGAGAAATTAGAAATTATAGATTATAAAATAAGATAGCCGTTGATATTAATAACCTCCTATTGTTTGTTGCTGTGGGAAGATATACAGTAATGTTTTTCCCAGCATCTGGTCACTATAATAAAAATTGAGGAGCCATAAGACTTGAACTTAAACTTGCATTTACTAAATTCTTCGAAAATAATTGAGTGTCGAAAAAATCGCAAAAATACGAGAGTCATAATACAAGACCCCCCTAAAAAAATTTTCCGCTTAAATATAATACAAGACCCTGGGTCTTTTAATATAGGGGGGGGGGGGTTTACACAATATTTCATATGTATTTTTTTACTTGACAACTAGTAAAGTTGCTTTGTTGACGTCAATTGAAACACTTAACAGTTGGATTTATTTACATTATCCGAATGAAAAAAATTTGAATCCTTTTGAATGACCAGAAGTAGAAATATTTAAACTTCTTGTCGTTATGCTATTATTTATAGGCCACCCTGTATATAAAGATTAAATTTCGAAATAGAAAAAAAATAAACATTTAAGAAAAATGTTAAAAAAAACTCAATATTGCCAAGGGGCGGGGAAACCGCAAGATCTTGCGCCGCACCGTCACCGCCCCGCCCCGCCGGCGGGGCGGTGTGAAACCGCGGCTCGGACATTGCTTTTTCGAATGGTGAAAGCTGCAGCTCTCTATCTCTTTCTTATCAAAAGTTATTCAAAAGATACTCAGGGCTCTTTTATTTTGAAATGAATATTAGTACAGCATAGTTAATGGTCACTTTAATGATTGTCTGTTCTAAGAGAGCTAATAATGATTGAATATTTAATGTTTATTTCGAAATCAACGGAGCATATAGAAAGTCATGATGTTTGCTATTTAGTTTAAATAAAAATTTCGATAGAAAAGTTTTCAAGATGTGTATCATCTTGATTCCTAATAAAACGGATTGAATTAATCTTGTCTCTTCTCCAATTCAAATTTCAATGTCAGTGTTTCTGTAGGTCTTGTTTCGTCATACGACATTGAAAGTAGATCTTCTATAGTTAAATCACCTCCAACTTGTGATCTATTATCATTATATATTAAAAATAGTTCGTACAAATTGATATCTCTATCTTCAATATGTAAGGATTCCATTGCATACTCAACAATTTCTAACACTTGCATTTCTTCATTGCAAGGTAAAATTGTTGTTCGATTTGTATATGATATGAAGCACTTGATTGTCGCCGTACACATTAGTTGAAATTCAAACTTATTATCAATTGTATCGAGATCTTCTAGGACGATTCCTTCACCTACGTTAGATCCACTATAATGCAAGCAATAGTATTTCTTTCTTATTCGAAACAGTTGACAGGCGATTTCTAAAATTCGTTCAATATTCATCGATGGTGAACAAAAAAACGTCAATGAATAATTATTATCTTCAATGTTAATGATTGTCACAACAGACGGTAAAATTTTTTTAACCAATTGAAAATGTATGGGGGATTCAAAACACGATAATGGAGTACTTTCCGCCGGAACAAAATCATTTTCGCGGAGAAGTTGTTGATTGCAATAATCAATATTGTTTTCTTTCATAATGTCTCCAATCGTTGCTGATGTTCGAAATCGCTGATGAACAGCTTCATTTACATTATCATTCCTGTCAGTCATCGACTGATTCGCTTCATTTTCAATTGAAACAACACACGTTTCATTTTCTTCAAGCAAAATAAAATTTTGTGTGTTTAAATTTATAAGATTTTCATTGTTTTGAAAAATTCTTTGAGTGTCATTTGATGTTAAATATAAATTATCATTATCAGATATATCTGTCTGTTGTAGAAGTTGTTCGACAGTTGTAGTATTGTTTTTGAGATAGGTTTTCATATCTTGTTTATCATTATTTTTTCGAATTTTAATCGGGATTAATATTCGAAAATGAATTGTTCCGCTATGATTACACGGATATGCATCAACTTGCTTTCGATAATCATCTTTCGAGAGTATTTGATTATTGGTATCACCGACCATTAGACAACAGTTATTCAAATTCAAATCTGGAAAATGTTGATTTTTCAATAAATGTTCAATTGTAATAGATTTCAAGGTAAGAATATGTTGAGTATCCGTTCCAAAGGAGAGAATAACGTGAATAGTTTGGTCTAGAGCAATGCCGTCCAATGTTGTTGCGGTTGTTTCTGAAGATGTAAGTGATTGATGTTCATCAACAATTGTTTCATTATATCGATTCCAAAAAACGCAGGGTAATTCAATTTCTGGTAGAACTAATTTTCGCCAAATTTCAATCTGTTGCCATTCTGTCATTGGATGAAACACAGCCGTTTTCTTTTCACCTAAATACTCAAATCATTAGTCAATACAATCTTCAGCCGTTAAAACTACTTTATAATTTCAAAATCTTGTCTTTATTATTTCTACAAATGCTTGTATAACTTACCTTGGTTTGACGTTAATGTAAGTTCATATAGAATAGTACTGTCGTCTGGTTCTTGAATATGGATGACGACTGGAAGGGTTCTATGCATTCGATGTAAATCTCTTATGTTTTCACCGTCAATATATCGTCGAGTTTCATCATAGAGATAATACCGATGATTAGGTGATGTTAATTTTAGATTTTGATCATTAATAAGATGATCCATAAGAGAACCTAAAGTACAATCGGGCATAGTTGAATAACTGAATTGTTGTATTCCGAGATGAAATTGAATAGAAATCAACATGGTCTTTTCCACAATGAAATATTTCAATGACATCGGAGATAGTGGATGATTGTTATTATTAGTAAAATCGAATAATATTTTGTTATTATCAACCAGAACATACGTATTTAAATCATACTTCTTATTGTTGAACACTCGTCTGAGTTCTTCATACAAATTGTCACTTTTGCATATCTTAGATTCACTTTTTCCATCGGGATGTTCGATACTAAGGGTTTGTACCTTTTTCATTGGCTCGATTTTCTGTGGTTGTTGATGATTTGTGTCTAAAATTGGTTGATATGATGTTATTGGAATCGTATTGACGTGTAATTGAAAGAGTGATGAATATTTAGGTGAAACAGTTTCATTACCAACGTCATCCTCATTGTCACTCTCATCACTATTAGAAATATTATTCGAATATGTAGAATCGGTTATATCATTCCCATGTAAATGACGATGATAGCGATTGTTTTCGATTATATCTTGTTCATTTCTGTTTGAATCAAAATTTTCTTCCCAAAGATGTGCTGCTTTCTCTTCAATATTTATTTTTTGTTCTTGTAAAATCGATTGAACTTGATTCAAATAAATGCTAAGAGATATATAATTTTCACATTTGATTTCTTTTGGTATTAACATGAGAATTTCATTATTTATTCTCATAGTTTCACTAATCGATCTTAATGATTCGGTTGATTGTCGTAATAGAATATCTTCAATTGATTTTAAATCGTATAATAATTGATTGATTTGCTGAATATGTAATTGTAGAACATCGATATTCTCATTGTAACTGATATTGATTAATTTTCTTTCAAATATTTGTTGAAGTTCATTACTCAAATCAGCATCGATAGGAGTTCGAAGTAGATCAGGAATATTCATGAAAGAATACTCAAAATTTCTTATCAAATCTCGATATAATTTTCCAATATGATTTAGATGACATAATTTGAAATCTCTTACTTGATATTGAATCAATTGTTGCATGATAGATCCATTTTCTGGAATTGATCGAATAAATTCATATACGCTTAGTGATGATGAATCATTTTGTTCTTCCTTGATTATTGTTGCAATTTGTTTTAATAGATTATAACCATGATAAAGTTTATCAATGAGCATATCATTCAAATGATTACATTCATGTTCTAAAGGCATAGAATAATTTTCATCAAGATCAAATGATTCATCATCATTATTTAGTGTCATAGCACGAATAATTTTTCGTGGTTCATAAAATTGATATTTTTGCATGATATGTTCATAGTTAATATGACATAGAAGGAGATATGTTCGAATTATATATGATTGAACATAAGCAAAATCAAAATTGAATGGTGTGTCTGATTTTAGAAAATACTCTTTTCCAAGTATGAGACTTGCAGAGGAAATTTTGTCGATCCATGAACAATCAGCATCGTTTAAAGTAATTACGCCGGTATTGTAGAGTGCGATTTGAATAATTGATATTCTTTTTGAAAGAAGTTTTTTGATTAAAAATTTTAATATAGTATTGTTATTATTATTGATTGTATCGCTGTCGAATTCTTGTTCGATTAAATCCAAAAAATTATTGTGATAATCGACGAGAATGCTATAAGTATACAAAAAAAACCATGCGTGAGAAAAGAATCTACTAAGTGATCACAAGTTTTTTAGATATTTTTAAGACTGTAGTTGCTATAGTCCTGCCTTATTCATATGCAAATCCTCTCATTCACATCTTCATACGATACCTGAGTATTCGCATAATAATATCTCCTTCATCTGGATTTTCATTTGTAATCAAATAATGTAGTGGTGTTGAGAGCGAAATTTCAGTGAAACGCTGAGTTTCGTCACAAGGACCTGGTCGTATAAGACCATTTGTAAAAGTATGATAAGCATTGACTGCTTCAATACCTTTCATAATAATATCCATATGATTTTTTGCCTCATTTGGACGAGGCCAACAGGTGAAATTACTCAAATGTTCTTTAGCTCGAGAATGTAATTCTTTTAATGTAATATCCAAAACCTTTTCACGTTCGATTAATTGTGCATATGTTTGATGAAGCAAGAGATAGAATCGACTAAGTTCGTAAATACGCTTCGTCATGCTGAGAAATTCAGTTGAATCTATAAATCGTTGTAAGACTCGTAAAGATAGATGAGCATTTTTTGGATTACACATTTCCGTTTTGAAGTGTATTGTCTGAATAGTAACTGGCATCTGAGAAGTATATCGTTGTAAATCGAATTGAATTTGCGATTGTAATTGTAATTGATTAACATATGTTTTATACTCAACCAATTGTTGATAGATGGGATAAAATACTTCATTTTGATAACTCTTTTCTGCATTTAACTTAGATTCAAAATCTCGATAGATGGGTTTTATCCATGAATTTCTTTGATCCACTGTAAGATATGCCATACGCTCGAAACAACAATTGAGTAAAATACAAGCATCATCTTGATTCGAACGAATCGCTAGGAAATTGAAGACTGAAAGTAAACGAGCACGAACAAAATGGCAAACTTTTGCACGAAGACTGTTCCCACCCATTTGACCAGTAGGTGTATTATCTGCAATAGCACTTGGTGATAAAATAGGACCGTGCAGATTTTGAACAGATTCATTGAACAATAGTAGATGCCAAGCCTATATTGGTCATAACTAAGAGTACAAACAAGATCCTACAATATTATAATAACTCACCATTGCACCAAATGTTGAAAAATAAACGGTATATATTGCTGGAACATTTAATTGGCAGCTTTGTTCATTGTTTGTATACTGAACAAGTTCACCATTCTCAGTGATGATACAGCCACAATCGTAGTGAACAGAAAATCTTTCAACAGCGGACTGGCGTGTAGATCCGAAACCTAAAATGAATCAAACATGATTATCAAAGTTTTATCAAATCTATTGATCACGAGAGACAAGTGTAGTAGCCGTTGCAGGTAAATACCTACCATATGTACCCTCAATTGACAATGGTTCAAATGTGAATGTCCAAAGAAAACTTTCCATGCCTCCTTTTATGATCATAGCCATCAAATTGACAAGTGAATGTCGAATACATAATTCATCTGCTGCTTCACAATCTAATCTAAATAAATTATTGAGATAATTAAAATCAGTATTATTATTTTGTTGAGGATAACCAATCATGCAGCGTTCAGGTTCTAACAGATTATGAAAAACACGTAATTCTTCGGAGGATGGGTCTAGTGTTTGTTCAATGGTATTAAGTAAGGTGCTTAGTAACTGCAGTTGATTGTTACAATAATAATTATAGTAAATATTTAATAATAGCATCACTTTAATATCATTCATTTGTAGATCAACAGGAATTGTGTTTAATTTGAGTTGAATCCAATCAGATAGAGGTTTCCATTGGTCTCCTATTTTGTTGTTAATACATGCGATAATTATTTGAGTTAATTCATTGTAGGGTTGATGAAGATGTGGAAAAACTGATAAGGCATGACTGCTCGGTGATAGAGTAAATTGTAGTTGATGAGAAAATTTTAGATATTTGTTCGATTTTAGTACTTGTTTTAACTCAAGATGACGGTACAAAATACTTGCCCATGTCCGATTTAAGTTTTGTATTTGATCTGATTTCAATAGATCTAAGAGAAAAGTCCAGGAACATTTCGATATAATTGTTGATAAAAAGATTTGTAGATTGGGAGTAAGTTGAGTTGTTGTTTCCTTGATTGACAGATAGTCGTTGATTAAAAGTTTCATGCATTCAAGAAATTCATTTAAATCATCAGTATCATTGAAGGCTGTTTGGCATAAGTATAAAGCTGCTGAACGTAAAAGAAAGTATTCTTTCAATTGTTTGTATATGATTTTAACTGAAGACATAAGATCTTGATCTTTGTTTTTAGGTGGTTTCAATGCTATTAATTCATTGATAAGTTTCTTGTTGATTACACTCTCATTAGCATGTCGATCAATATGAAAGAAGAATAAATCGAGTAGTACTAAGCGATTGTCTTGATGTTGCTGAAGAATAGATGGATGATAGGGTATTTGATAATATTGGAATCGAGTTCTATCCAAAATACATTGTATCACTATCGGTAATAGATATTCGATACGGTCCACTATAGATGATATATTTGGTTGAAATTGAATGGAAGTTAAATCCATCAATTCGTCGAATAATAATTGTTTCGCTGGCATCGACCATTTACATCTTGAATCACCTAGACAAATGAAAACATTATTGATATCATCTTGGGTTCGTTGTTTTGATGTTTTTAATATTGATATTATCCATTGTTGAAAATCAATCATCAATATACCATCTCCGACATGTTTATCTTCATTTCTATTTTCAAAATATTCATGAATAATATTAATAATATCTGGTAAAATCTTGAGATAAGATGATTTATTACTAATTATTCTTGGTCTATTCTCATTAGGTTGATGTTCTAATAACTGAGATACAAGTCGTGTTGGATTCAGTATAGTTTCATTTAGAAAAATTAAATATGCTAAACGCATGAATTCAATTTGATCTCCGATATCAGCAAGCTTTGTACTACGTAGAAGTGCACCTGATGGATAATATTTGTAAATAAATGTGTACATATAAGACCATTGTTGAATTTGTTTTTCGTCTCTATTTGAACATAATTTAAGTAATTTTATCCATAATAGATCAAATAAAAATCGAAATAATTCTTCACGTATTTTCGATCGAGTTGAATTTTCTTTCTTGCATAATTCATTCAGATATAATCGATCTTCACTGAAAGTATCAATGATTCGACAAGCTGAATATAGTGATGAAATATCATTTTGTTCATATTCAAATGTTGTATAAATTTGAGTCAAGCGGAGCACCAATTCACAAAAGGTTGTTTCTGATAGAGAGTGATCATTATCATCTTTTAATAACAACCAATTGGAAATGAAATTGATAGCATTAATAGATTGAAGTGGGTCATTGTCAAATTTTCCTTCAACAGTCATACAATAAATTCGAACTAAATCATTTGAATAACAGCTAAGAATATTTTCCGAGATAATATCCATTAATACTTTATCCTTTAGTATCGATTTGGACAATTTCAAGCAAAATTGCTCTTTCGAACATTCGATCATTTGATTCATATCATTATTAGTCATACTAGCGGTTGTTGATTGTTGGTTGAAATCTAACAAAGTAATATGCAATATATTTATTATATTAGAAAGGAGTAAGTCTTGTGAGATTTTCTGCTCAATTTCCTTATCTATATCTGCAATATTCGCATCTTCGATTAATATCTACTAATATCAGTCACGAAAAAGAGATTTTACAAACCGATAATTTTATTTTGAATGCCAATTAACTGTCGTTTGATGGCATCGGCGTGTGTTTTGATTCGTTGATGGAATAATTGGTAGAGTGGAGTTTGTAAAATAAATGCATTATGTGTAATGAGTTGAAATATTCCTTGAGTTGGCGATGGAGATTTGCCATTACTATCATCATCGAGTGGAAATCCTGTATAATCGATTAGATGAAGAATTGATCCGACATTAGTTTGGCTAGTCGATAGTTTCGATAATGCTTCTAAACCATAATCATTGGCAAGATATTTCAATATATTTGAAACAAAATTGGTAAATGAAGTTCGAATATGAAGTTGCAAAGAGTCTACCAAACCAAGAAAACGTTTACCACATAGAATATCTTTTGAGATTTGATATATTTTATTGTAAGAATTTTGTGATGAATTTTTCTTTCTTGACAATTGTTCATGATAAATATTAACGATGTATTCTTGTATTTGAGTCAAACGTTGAAGAATGTTTTTCAAACATTCAACACGTTTTGTTATACTTGTTTCTTTTCGATAGAATTCATAAGCATTTTCATCACTGAATATTTCTTGTGATAATTGTGGATGAAATATTTGAGTTCGTGAACAAAAATCCCATAGACAATCATCAAAAAGAACATTTAAATCGCAGAGAATATTCTTAGATGGTTCTTTTAATTGGTTTTTAGGTGATGAAACAATTTCTAGCATTCTTTGTAAATGAAATGCACTACCAGGTGTACATGTATCAAAGAAATAGAAGTCCCAACCATGCAAAAAGATTGATGGAGAACCAACTGAATTACAAAGTTGTTGTGCTGGTACATGAACTAGCATGATAAAGTATTTATTTTGTTTTGAATTGGTTCTGTTCTTGTTACATATAAATTCAGTTTTATCGACAAGCTGTCGAACGAATGGCAAATGTTGACGATGTTGTCCCTTTTGACCATTGATCACAATAATCAAAACCTTTTTGTTTCGGTCGTTTTCAAAAACACGAAACTTCTCTTCTAATACAGAAGCATTTTCAATGACAGCCTAAACAAATAAATCAAAAGATAAAATAACAATCCACAAAACTCAATAGAGAAGGATGTGAGCAAAGATCTAAATGTGACTATGCACTCATATCGCTAAGATGAGTCATCCAGAATCTTGAACTGGATGAAGTAGATGAAGCTGTTAAAAATAATGGACACATATGAGTTTACAACTCTCTTATTCAATTATAAATGGTTAATATAACACTTGAACTCACGAGATTTAGAATTTCTACCAAATCATTGATATTTTCATCAAAGGTATTGTTATTTTGTTTATTGAATAATTGATATTTGGATGCTTTATTAATTCCAACAACATAAGGTGATGTACGCGTATATATTATTACTTTAGTTGTCATGATAGTATTGATTTCTGTATGTGTATCAGTTGTAATTGGATATGACGATTGATTTTCATGTTTTTGTATAAGTTCTCGAACAAAATTTTCAATATTGAAATGTTCTTGATATTGAAAATAGTTTTTAAATAATGATTGAGCAAATTTATCTTGAAATGTTGGTAATTTAAATATGATCGATTCAGGTGAAGCAATTTGAATTAATTTCGATAAAATAAAACGTAACAGACACTGTTGTTTATTTCCTGGATTTTCTTCAATAAATCGTTTTGTTTTGATATTTAATTGAGAATAACTCTGATGAATATTTGAAATCGAACATTGTCGATTTTCATCAGTTTCAATTACTAATAGTAAACACGAATAAAGGGTATTATCATTCAATCCATATAAATATTGTTGACCGAAATGTTTAATAAATGTTTGCATTTTATTTTCAACATTATTCATAATATTTTGTTCTTCCGAAGAAAGACGTTGAAACTGAATTCGATAAAAATCAACAATACTTAATGAATATTTTTGAAATCGACTTAAAAATGGTGCTGGTATATCATCAAATTCATGTCGATTGATATGTACAATACATTGAAAATTATCATTGACGACAACGTCAACTGTTTTTGAACCGATTGCCACTTTTGAAAAGATTTTTCTTGTATCACCTGTAGCCATTATTGAAAAATTCTGATTAAATACATCGTAAAGCGAACCGTGTATACGCCCGGTATTGACCATTAAGATTGTCTTTCCTGTTTCCATACATAATTTAATTGTCGATAATATTTCAACATTTCTCAGTTCATTATTAATATCATCGGAAAAATCTGACATTCGAAAGACTTCTGTTTGATTTGGATCGATGATACCTGTTTGAAATAAAAGACGAACAGCACTTTCATCATCTGATTCATCGATAATTAATTTATAACGACCATACAATCGACGTTGCATTGATTCGAGTTTCATCGAATCTTGCAGAATTTTGATTATATCACGACGAACATCATTCTGATGTTTTTTTAATGATAATTCAAAATCGGGACGTTTTTCTTGTACAGCTTTAAAGAAGATTTCAGTTAATTTTTCAAATTGTTTACCATTTATACCATTAAAATTATTCTCTAATGCATACAATAAACTCTCGGGTCGAATCGTATCCAGAACAACATCTTCATTTGTTAAATTTGTTCGTAATTCAAAACGTAATTCACGTAACATGTAAATAAAATCTCGATCATGAAATATTTTTGAAATATCAGAACTGTGTAGAACACGTCTACAGCCTTGACATAAACAAGTTATAATGTCAACTAGATCACCAGCAATTGTCTCTTCATTTTGTAGACCAAGACAACCGTAGGCTAAAATTTTTTGATCATCTTCTGATGGAAGTGAACGATAGATACATGTCATTCGATTGGCATTTGCAGCATCAAATGATTTGTTTGCTATTGCTACAAATGCTACTGTACATTCGTCCAAATATTGATGAAGTACTTTTAATACCATTTTATTTTCATCTGGCAGCGAAGCTTCATCCAAGAAAACGACCTGAAAAAATTATTCTTTTGATGTGAAATTGTTCAAAGAACTAACTTACACATCGAGTAGCCATGCGATTCTGTTGATATTGTTGTTCACGTTTTATTGCTCGCTCAAATACACATGCGATATCATTTGATGACGTATATTTTGAACCAAGACAAAAGAATGGATCAACTGCTGGTAATTTTTTACAAAAGTCCGTTTTTGATAGTTGCGAACCTTGAAGATTTTGTAAGACAATTTGGAATGAAAGCGTTTTTGATTGTCCTACAAATACACAAAAACAAAATAGAATATCTTTACTTTCATTATACTCATAGATTACACCTATCCTCAAGATGATAGCTTAGTCAGATTTATTTCTATAAGCTCGCACATCGAATTTTAGCCGATAAATATTGATTAAACAAGACTAACCTGGTGCACCGATGATACATAATGGCATTCGCGTCACAATACAGATGGTAATTGCGAAAATATGCTCACGAATCTTTAACATAAGAGAATGAATAGCAAATTCTTAGTGACAAATCTCGATCGGATACATACGGCTTGATTAATTGCTACACCTGGTGGAATAATAAAATTTTTGGTACTAACAAAATTTTCCAGTTCTTGTTGAACGATTCTTGAAAATTTTGGAAGGTTTTTAGACAGCAATCCAGCAAGTTGTTCTCGTGATGGTTTTTTTTGATCTCCTCGTTTCTTATTATCTTCATCTGTTGGCAATCGAAAATAGTAGATTAATGAAAGTGATAATGCTATGCATCGATCAAGATCTGGATCTTCTTCATCTTTATTACTCTCATAGAAATATTCAATGAGAGTGAAACATCGTTGAATTTCTCTTTGTGATACTGTATTTTTACCTGAAAATAAAACAAAATGGATAGGTTTATTAAAAAATAGTAAGGAAAATTTTCTAATTGAATATATTTACCAAGTTTCTCCTCACAAAACGCTTGTGCAGCTAGAATTGCCTTGATAAGTTTTCCTTGTAAATACGTTCTTTGTTCCGATTCAATAGAAAAATTCAAATCAAACTTTGCTACTTTTTGCGTTATATAATCGTTCACTGTTTTCGGCTCTAATGCTCCATAGGATACTTTTAAGTGTTCCAACGATCCTGGTAATTTATGAACAAGATAATCTAATCGATGAACAAGATTATCTTGATTAGTTTTATCTAATGCTGGATTGATAGCAGCTGTAAAGAAGATATTTTTAGGCAAACGAACACCTTGTAATGTTCTATCAATAAATATTTCCTTAAATAGTCCAAGACATGATGATGTATTCAATTCGTCAAAGAATACAACCAATTCAATATTTTTCCATTTTTGAGCTAGTTCTGATATTGGTGAAATAAATCGTTCGATTTCTTTTTCAGTTACACCTGGATGAATCAGTAACCGATAAAATACCGATTTCACATATGAATGAGATAAATACTCCTCTAAAATCTCTATGGACGTTCGAATATTCGGTGGACCATCTTCGAGTAAATTCTTTAATCGAGAGCTACCTTCGATCAAAGGCAAACTATCCAATTCTGTTTCTACATACTTTCGTGCCATACGCAGTAGTTGTTTAACAGTTGACGCCGAATTCTTCTGGGCTACTGTTAGAATGCTCTTCCAAATGAATAGTAACATGTCAGAATTGTATTCAAATTTTGTTAACGAAGCTTTACATTGTTTGAGTAATTCCAAATTCATTCGTTCCACTGATTGTCTTTGATCTGAAATTTCTATCTCGTTAGAAGGTGGATCATTGAACGGAACTGGACTCTCTTCGTCATGGTGTGTATCGGTATTTAGAATTTGTGAAAATCTTCTACTGAACGAGTTTGCATTCTGATCCTCTTCGTCTTCGTTTCCTGTATCTGCATTATCGTCTTCTTCAATGTCTTCATCAAAGTGACGATATTCTTGTTCCTGATTGCTGTTTTCGTCATCATCATCATTATTATTATTATCCTCATCATCATCGTTATTATTATTATCCTCATCATCATCATTATTATTATTATTATCATCATCATCATTATTATTATTATCCTCATCATCATCATCATTATTATTATCCTCATCATCATCATTATTATTATTATCATCATCATCATCATCATCACTATATTCGAGATCTATATCGATATCATCGTCTTGTATATCCACGTCGTGAGAACTCATTAATTTCGGTCTTATACGTTGAAGTACTTCATTCAATACACTTGGTTTTGTCTCTAAAAATTTAGCAAAGATAACTTCGGACATCCATAGATTAGCACGTTCGAGTATTTGTGTTCGAAAACTTGCTTGATCATAATCATGTTGAATATTTGCATTCAATAATAATGAATAGAATTTCAGAAGATATGTCTTTCCAATTCCTGTATCACCTTCAATTATCAATGGAAGAGTTGTTAATTTCCGTTCATGTATATGAAAAAGTTTGTAGGCAAAGTTTTCAGTTAAAATAAATTTCATCTGATTCATAATTCGTTCACATGTTTCATATTTAGTGTTGACAAGCCATGATAAACATTTAAGAAAATGATTTCTATTTAAGAATTCGGATCTTTTCAATGGATCAGCATCTTCCCATAAAGTTTTTATTCCAATTGGAACTTCATCCCAATTGTTATGTAATAAATGTAATGAGAAATCAGGATCGTAAACAAGATACAAGCGTGGGTAGTTATCATCATGAAAACTTATTTCAGAAAGTGACTTTGCTTCCTGTATCATCTGAGTCATGGCTATTGAACCAAGATTCAGAATAAGTTCATTCAAAGTGTAATAAAAATTAGTAAAAAATCGAACACGACGATAAAGAAATTTTGTAAAAGATACTTCATAGGTTTTATTTCGTACTCTATAAGGTGCATATTTTTGTATACACTCATATATATAATGACGACATTCATTTTCATCTTTTAATGCTTCAAATTCGTATGGTACGCATTCCGATGTGGTTGGACGACGGTCGATCGTGCCATTCGAATACGCTTTAAGGAATCGAGCAACTAATTCTTCTTCTTCTCCAATATGCAACTGATAATCTTCATCAGTAATGATTTCTATGGACGATTGGCCGATGATGGAAAGTATTGGTAGTAAATAATTCAAATTTTCCTTGATTTCCATTTGATGTTTACTGGAATACGGAATCTCAACGAAAAAAGTCCATGTTTTTGTACTTGGCAAAGCAAATGTAAGACCGCTAGTCGGATCAGTCAATGTACCACAAACTAATAAGGAAAATAACGTACGATTTAACTCATCAAATGGAGCATGAATGGAAATGTTAATATAGACTAATGGAAAATTGTTTGATATTGTCGAATCATATGATAGAAGTGCACTTATTAATGATGATAAACTTAATTTGTCATTAATACTAAAACACAACGTATCCTCATTCATGTATTTTGTTTTAATTTGATGAGTTTTGCCTGAAGCAAAGAGAAAGAAAGTAAGGTCAAAAAAAAATAATATGAGATAACTGACCAGTTCCTTCTTTTCCACATATAATATGAATTTTTGGTGGTTTTCGATTGGTTCGTTGAAACAATTGATTCAAGTTAGTATGGGTCTGTCTAGCATTCCCATAGGCGGATGGTACATGAAAGAATTTCAATCCTCTTCGATACGTTGTTAATTCTCGAGAAAAGTAGTAAACATTGCCATGCGGTTCTCTAGAATTTGTTAATAAATCTTGTTCATTTAATACTACTTCACGAAGACGAGGATGCATTTTATCGATATCCAGAATAACAAAAATCATATTGGAAAATGTTCGAATGCGTGAAAAAAATAAATGAATATCATCTTCATTGATTGTCGAACACCAAAGTATCTGAGAAGCTACTGGTAATCGATCATTAAAAAGATTTAATAGAATACAAAACGTCTCCATATCAAGTGTGCATTCACATAAATTTTTATCTGGCATGTGATATGTTGAATTCAATGTGGCGAGATACTGTTGACTTTCACTGTTTGTCACATTCTTGTACAGTGTTTGATTTGAATATTTTAAAAATTCATTAAGAAAATGATCGAGATGTTTGAGAGATGCATCGACACTAACGTCATGTTTAAATGTATGACTTTCATATAGATGAGCGATTATAGTTTCGAATGAATTACATTCATTTATTGGTAATGAACGTAGGTAATATGCTAGAGAATAAATAATACATTCGAACGAGTATGCATCACTCTCATCGTTTGCTTCATTATATGAATATAACTTTTCGAAAAGCTTATGTTTAATTCGATGATTGGATGTTGAAGTCGTTAGTAAAATAATCATATTCATGATTTGACGATTGGAAAATAATTTCAAAAAATGACTTTTATTTCTCCATTTTTCTAATCTATCAATCCAATCATCGTATTCTCGTTCAAGTCTATTCCAAATACTAGTGAAGTATATTGTTCGAGACTGAACTACATCTTGTAGTTCTGCTTGGTCGATATCTTGATTTTCTCTCGGTGTAAAGAATACTGTATTGATAGGATCTAATTAAAGTAGAAAGTTAGTGCAGAATGACTAAGAAGAGAGATTTAAGTTCTCTTACTTCTCGAATTGTAAATTTTGTAACGTTTAGTTTTTAGTTGATAGTTTGGATGACCGCTCATTTCTAATCTGATGAAATTTGAATAGATATTTCCAATAAGTTTTAATAATTTCAATTGTTCATCTAACAGAATTTTTATGTGAGGCATATTCGCTGATAAATCCACATTGCAAAATGTTAATTGACGTTTATGATCATTAATATCGAAATCGAACATGGATATAGTGGCTTTCATTTTGTCTGGTTTTGATTCTTTTTCGTCGTCACTACAGTCATCGTTTTTTTGTTCTTCCTCACTCTTGTCATTTGTTACTTTATTAGTAATATTGGTATCTAGTGTTTTGGATTGAGTTTTATCGATTAAATAGTTGATTTCAAGGGAAGATTCTTCATGCAATAGATGTCGTAGATGAATAGTAACTTCACCTGTCTTATATAAATGTGCCATTACAACAAGAGCATTATCAAAAACTGTTGTTTCTTCTGTAGATAACCACATACGAATGATTTGCACATTACCATTTACAACTACAAAATAAGTAAAAATATTTGCTTATAAATGCTAACGACAGATGAGGGTATAGATGTCTTTCACAGCTACCTGGTGTATGAAGTACTAGAAACTATTTTACCTTTCATGTGCTGAAGTGAATTTGTATCGAAATCGACCAAATGGACAACGCGATCGACAAATTCTTTCAATGTTTTAGCTTTGAGAACAAATGGTTCACATAATGTATAAGTGATAATAAATGAATTTAATATAATATTATTGCGTTCTTGTAATTGAAATTGTATGGTCAAATTGTCTCGTAATTCTTGAAATTTTTGTCGACCCTTATCGGAATATAAATCGAATTCTTTCATTAATTCGATAATAGTGCAATATTCGTTTGCTGTTTTAATCAAATCTAAATGTTTACTACTGATACCTTGAAATTCTTCTGTTAAAAATCCATAATCACGGAAGATATTTTCCAATGAACACTGTTTTCTGTTACTCAATTGTTCAAGATTGTTGATGGTATTAGTATCATCTGTTTCTGAAATAATGTCAAATGTTTTAATACAATTAATAACAGTCTTAATATGGCTGTAGTATTGGAAGATTTGCAGTCTTTTACAAATTTGATCAATCTGTTGATTGTTTGGTGTCGTTGTTGGATATTGTACCTTGTTTGTCAATCGATTCGTGAATAGTTTCATGACTTCATATGGAATATGAATGTTTTCGTCGCAAAAAATACCCTTGAGATCAGCCATGTCAGATAAGTTTATTTTATCATCTGCTAATTTGTCAATAAATGGAAAAACTTGGTTATCCAGCTTGTCGACGAAGTCATTTATATCAATACGTTCTTTTTGTGCAAGATCGTCAGTATAACGTAAGCGGACTATGCCGTCAAACAAACGACATACGGGCATATTATTTTGTTTAATCTGATGCCATATTGAACCTGGATTATGCTTTTGATTAATAAGTTCAATCATTAGTTGACCAGGATATAATGTTTCGAATTCTCCATGATAGGCGAATTTATCAGTAGGAATATCTACTCCAGAAAACAATAAGATAGAATCATCTAATGAGTCTACTCGCTGGAACCAAATCTTGACATCGCATGACCTGTTTTCACTAGCAAGAGACCAATACACATTTTGATGGCCACTAATCGGACATTTTTGTGAAATATTTTGATGACTGTCAACCACAAATGAGTTGTTGGAATTTAAACGTTTTAGGTCTTGTATATATTTTTTCGAATCTTGTACGTCATATTTGGTATCTCTTTCGATTACTTTGAACGGCTCTGAACAATTCAGTATACTACAAAGACGTTCTAGACTTTTAATAGACTGTAGCATATTCATTGCTTTCTCTACCGTCTTCTTCATTTCTAACACTGGTATTGTATGTTTGTTTCGGCTGCTATTAATAGCAAAACATAGTTCAGCAGCTCCATCAACACGATATTTCCTCAACCATTCAATAATATATTGAAAAATATCAAAAAAATGATGAAACCATGAAATCCATTCAATCACTTTCTTGATGAACTGGCCCAATGATTCTTTGTTTGGTTCAATTTTTATATCATTGAAGTCGTTCGGTCTTTCAATGGACATAATGACAGAAATGTTATTTGGTATTTTCACAAAACTTCGTGCGAAATGATCTCCCTGTGATGAGATTTCTTGCAAGTCAATCAGCGAAAACAGACATGATGCAATTGCTGTTTGTGATAATCTTTGATAAGTAGAAGGTGTAGCTATAAAAAAACGAAATAAAATTAGATATATGATATATCTTTAGAAAGCCGTTTTTTTTTATCTCCTGAGTTTAGGCGTAAAGAAGAGCTAGTCACATTCTCGCCCATCCACACTTTCTGAGATCTTCTTTTATCCTCTTGCTAATATAAATTGAAAAGGGAATGCATTGGTTTACCTCTCAATAAAAAAATATTTCTTATCAATTGTTGTGTTTTTTGAATAAACTCTTCCACATATTTTTTGTTGATCAAACATGAATCACCATAATAAGCTTCCAGAATAAACTTCATTATAATTTCGATGTTCGATGATAATAATGTGATATTGATATGTTTTATAATAATAGTTTCTAGTACAGTATTCACAAAGATAATGGTTAAAGTATCATCTTGTTTATAGATGTTATGTCCTACTCGTTTCATCCAATCAACTATATTGAAAAGTATATCAGCTGGATCTTTTATTATCGATCTCAAAATACTCAAATGTATAATTCTTGACCAAACATAACTCTTCCAAGGATGGTTACAACGATGTGCACGACTTAAATCTTGATAAGCTGATTTATCGAGATTGAAACACATGGACAAGATTGGTAAAGTATATTCAATTAACCATTCATCCTTAATTATTTCCTTTGGATCACTTTCTTTGCAAATATTATCGTTGAAACATTCTATTCTCTGAAACGAGAACAGAATTTTCTCTGGAATTGATCCTTTATGACCAAAGTTGAATAACAAACGATTAATAATGATTAAACTTGACGGTTGTAGAAGATTACGTATTAGCGATAATTGGTAAGTAGTATTATACAAATGTAACCACTCGCGGTCATCTATTTTATAAGTAGCAAGATCGTTCACAAATAGATTTGAAACAAAACCATCGAATACTGTTCCTAGAATCTTCATTAGATTTGAGAAGTTTTCATCGTTGAGTGTTGTTTGAGTAGGAATGAACAAATTTATTATATCAATAAAGAGCTTGATGGATAATAAATCACTTCGTTTGATTAATATTGAACTCATCTGTGCTAACATCCTATCACTGAAGTGTAGCTTTGTAATCAAATTTAAAGAAACTTCCCAAAATGATTCGACCGGCATATTTAAAGCACAACTACACAGATATTTTCCAAAAAGTTCTTCCCACTGACTGACATGTCGAAGTAAATCAGCAATCTGGTCCTTTCGATGCTTTTTATTTCTGGTCATCCAGGCTGGTATATATTGTAGATATTGATCGTAGAATGTTTTCACATCAAGATTTAAATTGTCAAGGAGAGAAATATAAATGGAGAATGTGAAAGTATTCATTTCGATTCGAGTTTTTTCGATGAGACTAATGAAAGCCGGAATATCCAGTGGAGTTGTAAGTGCTTGTTGATAATGAATAAACCTTGAAATAACTGATTCAAGCGGTAAATTAATCGATTGTACATGTGATAAGATATTTATCCAAGAATAATCACGGTGATCATCACATATTAGTAATGATTGCAACGCTAATTTGTAGAGAACAAAGAATATAGACAGTTCTATATCGTTCTGAATAGTGGTGATCATCATCAAATGTTCGTAAATATTTATTCTTTCCAGAGCACTTCTATTCTTTATGAGCACATTTGGCATTTCACCCATTGTTTTATCAAACACATTTGCTAATCCCTCGTGGAGAAACGTCCTTAATTCCGCCAATTCATTACTCCGTTTCTCTTTGTTAGACTGATCAGGTATGTAGTTCAAATATTCAACAATTCGACGATAAATGTAGAAGTACGAGTCGGTGCGAGTTGAAAATTTGACTGAGTCGTCTTCCACCTCAAGACTTTCTAGTGTAGAATTCATAATATACCAGATGTCGTTCGGAAAAAATGCATTATAAGAGGATTCATTTGATTTATCGAACGATTCAAAAGCATTAGAAACGGAAGTGTAAAATCTGATCCCATCCTCATCTACATTAAAGATATTTCCTATTGGAATAACCGATGGAGACGTCTCGTTGGTACCAATCAATTTCTTGAAACTTGAGCTGATAAATTTCGACACGCGGCTCATTGAAGACGTGGTTGCTGTTATGAGTAGAAATCTGAAATAGAATACAGATAGGACCGTATTAACTGTTACCTAGTATACGCTCGTTCTCATTTATCCACACAATGTATGTTCTGTGTTGATTAAAAGGATGCAGGTATGGTTTCTTTTTCCTCGATCATTACTTCAATTTATATTAATCGACACCCACACCCTACGCATACGAAAGAAGGTCTCCAAGTGTCCAATCGCTTTTAAGTCTAGACTATGTGCATTATGTAGACCCAAGTGAGGTCTGAAAATCTCCAAAAGAATAAGAGCTCTTATGCCTTCTGTCCAGAGTTATAGGTATTTTACTGGAATTTTAGTCGCTGACATAGTAATATACTAAGGCTGGAATTTACTAGCCTTTGGAGCTTTAGGGTGGCTGTGGGTGTGTGGGTGTGGGTAGGTGGGTGTGGGTTGTGGTGTGTGGATGTGGCACAGTGGGCAACTTTCATGAAGCAGGCGGACATGGAACTTTTGTGTTCTGAAACGGATGGCCGTTACTCAGAAGTGTTTGTATATTACTCAGAAAATCGAATTTACGAAAATAAAGTATTTTTTGAAAAAAAATTTTTCGGAGTGAAACACCTGAGGGGGGAGCCTTGCCGAGATTTTCGAAAAACGTTTTTTGGTAGGGAATGTCTTGTATCATACATCATCCGATGCAGTTTTGCTCGCTGATTCCGAATATCACCTTCGTTTTGCGCCACAATGCTATCGGAATCGAGAAAATATGGACTCAGGGGCAGAAGCCTGGATTTCTGGAAAACTTCTAGCGTAGGCTGGATTCCACAGCGCGAGGTGGTGCTAAGCCCGACGATATATCACATATAGAAGAATAATCGGTAAAAATTTCAGATCAATTGGACTTAATCTCTTTATAGAGTTAGCACAGTATGGAATGACCAATTTTCGAAGTTATATCTAGCAAAAGTCCCAATTTTTTTTTCTAAAAAAATGCTTATTGTTATACATGATTCGATGCAACTCGACGAGCTGATTCCAAATATCACCTTGATTTTGCACCCAAATGATGCCTTGTTTCCAAAAATAGAGATTTTGGGGCAAAAAACCTCAGTTTTTGGGAGACCCATAGCACTGACTGTGCTCATCAGTGCGAAATGGCGCTATTGTCAAGGATGAACTAGACGTGGAAGAGTACTTAGTGAAAGTTTGAGATCAATTGGACGAAAATTCTTTTGGAGGTTTACAAAATACGAAAAGACTGATTTTAAAAACCTTGTTGGACACAGGAACCGACTTTTTTTTTCGAGAAACATTTACTGTTATATATGATTCGATGCAGCTCGACGAGCTGATTCCGAATATCACTTTGGCTTTTGCATAAAAATACCTCCGTATTCGCAAAACTAACGATTTCGTAGCAGAAGCCTAGTTTTTTCAGAAACCACTAGCACCGTTTCTGTTCACTGGTACGACATGGTGCTATTACCAACAATAAATCATGTATAGGAGAATAATTGGTGAAAGTTTCAGCCCAATCGGATTAAAAACCTTTTGGGGGTTCACAAAATACGGTATGACCGATTTTTGCACCTACTTTTGGCCCAGTAATCGCTTTTTTTCTACACCATTTCTTGTTCGATGGAAATCATTTTTTCATACAATGAAGCTTATGGGTCAGTCATTCCTTTGAGATAGTTTTTCATTTTAAAATATTTGAATAAGTTAATAACAAAAGCTTCTCCGTTTAATTAACGATTTATGAACAAATTTTTTGACCATGAACTTTTCCAGGGTTTGACTTGATTTCTGGAAATCTAGTTTTAGAGTAAGATAGATTAACCATAGATGTATTCATTCCAATATTTGAACTTTGGAAAATAGAACCTTCGATCATGTCCGCCTGGTTGCCCACTGTGTGTGGGTGGGTGTGGGTGTGGGTGTAGGTTGTGGTGTGGGTGTGTGGGTGTGGGTGTGTGGGTGTGGGTGTGAGGCAATAAAGATAACAACACCCACACACCCACACCCACACACTCACACCCACACACCCACACCCCACCCACACCCCACACCCACACCCCACACCCACACCCCACCCACACCCCACACCCACATCCCACCCACACCCGCTGTAGGTTTGCCCCTAAATTATAAATTTCTATCTTATTTCAT